GTAGGCACGTTGTCTGCTAAACTAGAATTGGAATAATGTATACTAAAACAAAACCAAAGAGGATAGGGGATATTTTAGGATCTATAATATGGTACTAAGGTACAGAGGAGACTATATTGTACAGAATGTCTGTAATTTTCCAATGAAACATATCCACAGAGATTATATTGTAAAACCTCTTTCTCTTTTATTCACTGAAAATTTGATCATTGTTAATTTCATGTCCACTCAAATTTCTTTCATGAAGCCATCCTCACTTTGTCAGTTATAGCAGTCATCAGTACTCCTGTGGCATGTTACTGCACTCTAGGGCTTTTCAGATCCTCATTTTTAGGGAAGGATGGGTTGTGGCTTTGTTCCTTACAAGGCTAAAGCAACTGGAGACAAGGAACCAATCACTCTTCACTGTTTCACATAACACCCATGCCTAGAACTTTGTAGGAACTCAGTAAATGTTTTTGAAGGACTGATGTCAGATTTCTCAGGGACTGCTATGATTTCAAAGATTTCTGTGGAAAAGAAACTCTGTGTCTCTCCATTTGAGAATGAGTAGATAGCTTATTTAAATTTGAATTTCTGTTGGCAATGGTTTAAAGAACTTAATGATTCCCTTCATCTTCGGCAATTGCCTCCATGTTCATAACACATCCTAATTCATTTTTACCCTTCTATCCTCTCCTTCCCCCTCCTTCTGTCACTTGATTTTATTTTTCTGGCAATTGTTATGATTAATTAAACACTGCTCTTGAGGGACAGAGTAAATTATTCAAGATGGCCCAAAGTTATAAATAAATAAGAATAATTCAAGATGAGTCATGTAAAGATATTTTAATTAAGCTTTATATTCAAACTTGGGTTAAATATTTTATTCTACAAGCAGACATGGCAGTCTAGGAAACATTTCAAGACACTTCACAGACAACATGGTTACTATTCAGTCTGTCATGAATATCAATACCAAGTACTTCAAGCAACCTTTGAGGGTAAATACCTAAATGTCTATTGGTCCACCTCTATAAAAAGATTATTCCTAAAGATTCCTATATAGAAAAGTGCATCACTAAAACCAAGCTAAATAGATCTTGCACTTTGGTTCACATGTCAAAAGGGAAATGTTTCTTTCACAATAAGCTACATGTCTGGTTTTTAATGTATATGATTAATAACATTCTAATTATCTTATACTTTAAAAATTTAAGAAATGAATTTTATATTTAAATTCTACACTGGTGAATGGAAGGAATGCCAATTCAGTGAAAAGTCTTCACTCCAGTGGATTAAGAGTTCTTCTGAGAGATTTTCATTGTGACAGTCTTGATCTCTGTGTATTCATAGAAGCCTTCTTCACCCCTAAAGAGAGCGAAACAATGACCATAAACATCACTGATGAAAGCAAAGCAATTATATAATAATTCTTGATTTGGTACAAGTATGTTCTTGTTTATCTATCTAGGAAAATATTTTCCATTCACACTGTATCTAACATAAAGCTCTTGTGAGAAGAATTTTTAAAAATTTCTTTCTCTGGGAATAGATGCTTATGGCTATAAGCATATTACTTAGAGATGTGAGGTAGGAGGATCTCAGTGAATCTGAAGGCAGCCTGGGCTACATAAGTGAGTTTAAGGCCAGTCTGAACTGCAATGTGAGCCTTGCCTCAAAAAAATAAATTTTCATTTAAAATAATTGCAATAGGCCAGGGAGATAGCTCAGTGAAATAAGCACTTGCCTGGCAAGCAAAAGAACCTGAGTTCAATCCCTGGTTCCACAAAAAAAGAAGAAGAAAAAAAATAAAATAAAATAAAATAATTGCAATCCGTCAGCTGATTTTCATAGAAATTCTTCATGTATCACATTAACTATCAATACTTCAGCTACTCAAAAGATAATTTAACCCAACAAGAATTTTACATTTTTTAGTATACATTCAGATGAATAAGACATACATAGTGTAGGAGCAGTGGCAATAATTATCATTGAAGGGTAGAACCGTAAAATTATAAACTGAAGCAGAATCTGTTTGTACCACATGCTGTTGGCACAGAACTGGTGAGGGAGGAAAGCGATGACCCTGCCACATGCGTTCTAAGGTGTCCTAAGCTTTTAAAGCTGTATTTTATCAATATCCTTTGATTCTTGTTGAAACAAAAGCTTGAACTTCAATTTTAGCTTAGTTTATCAACATTCCTGTAGAAATGAGTTAGAGAGCTGAGCCAGCCATGCTGGTCAGCCCTGCAAAGTAATGTAGTAATCATCATCAATTTTTATAGAAACTAATTAGTTTTATGAAGGAATTCTCCAGAAATGAATATTATAAACAAGAAATTAGAGAAGGAAAGTAATCATTTTGGGGTCTTCAGTTTGTATCAGTTCTATAAGGCTAGCGATTGAATATTGGTGATGTCATCTACTTCTCATATCATCTGAAAGGAATATTAACATCTTTATTTCTCAGTAGAGACTCAGAAATTTGACAACTTGAACCAGCCACATGCAGGGCCAAGGATAGTTTCCGGACTCTGACCAGTCAGGCTTCCATTCAGTCTGCTCTGTGATCTGTCCATTCGTCACGCACCACTATTTACGGACTCAACGACATTCTAAAGATGGCTGTGGAATTTCACTACACTAATAAGAATCAAGCCAGCTTTCTATGATTCGGGATACCTTAGTCTACATCATAGTTATCTTCAGTGAACACTCGGTCTATTAATTATGCCTGGGCAGTTTGAACTATATAGTTTTACGTGTTATATCTTCCACCATTGTCGTATAAAAGGTGAGAAGCAGTATCATGATTCTGGGACTATGACAAACTTATCCATAGCAAGCATTAACGAAGGTAAATTGAGGACATGTCTAGGTCATTCTATCATTGCTCCAGTTCTCTGCTTCCCCCAAAGTATTTAGGTTATTGCAATTTTATGATCGAGGTGATGACGTCTATGTCATGACACTTAGAAACTGAAATTCATTTCATATGCTGCTAAAATTGGGAATTTTTATTGGGTTTGATTCTATAGTTTGTATATGATGTATCTTATTTATTGATTTTTATTATTAAATGTAAAATATTCTAATAAATAAAATTGTTAAATGTGCTTGAACAAAATTAACCAGAGTGTATATGCATATTAGAAATTTTACATATCTTGGTTCAAAATGAACTAAAAGCTCATAAATTCATTTATGTGCAAATAGTCAGTGTAGTCACAACTATAAAATGTGTTTTACTTAGTCAAATTTATTCATAGATTCATATTTTAGTTTTAAAACCCTTTGAAGTCATTTAAAATTTTAAAGTTTGTATTTATAATATTTTACTAATCAAAAATCATTCATCTTAATAGTGAAATTATTTATGAAAAGGTATCTAGTTTATTTATTTCACAAATTTATGCAAATGGAAAGCTCATATATTTATGCACTTATTACAGTCACCAGTTTATTTCCTACCTTCATTCTGAGAATGTATCTTGAACAGATTGTTATGTATATAAGCAAGTTGAAAAGTACACAATAAGTCAATCATCAATGTAAAGTGCTTAATATGGTCCCTTATGAAAGTAGAAGCTTAGAAAATTATTTTGCTCTCTTGCTATTGCCTTTCTGTGCTTATAGATTACTACAATATTTAATGAGCTCATTATGTATCTGTAAGAAAGAACAAAGGCAGGTTGTATCATTGATAGTGAAACAAGATTAGTTCCAGAGGAATTCGTTTTTGTGAAAGTAAATATTTATTGTAACAGAAAGTTTTATATTTTGTGAAAGAAAAAAATTTGAAAACAAATATTTATCATAACAAGAAAGATTTTCTTACATTTCTCGTCCATTTCCAGACATTTTGTATCCACCGAAGGGAGCCTGAAACCCTCCCGGACTGTAGCAGTTTACCCTGCGGATGGAAATAGAGAATTGAAATATGCAGCCCATGAAGTAATTGTTAATTGGGAAATTCAGAAAATAAGAGACCCCTTTTAACCACTTCATTTATCTTCATTTAACATACTCATTGAGATTTTAAAGAAAGCTTATAAATAATAAAGCAGAAAAATATACACATTAAACACAGTACCTAAAAACAAAATATGGATGTGCATAGTTCAATTTGAAGTCATTCAAGTACTGCTTAATAAGTAGTATCTTGAATTATAAATGGAAAATAAATACAAAAGGCAGAATAATGTTTGCTAGATACTGGAATGTGTTGTGTTGGTTTTCTTTGTTGCTTATATTTAATGGATTTGTAATTCTCTGAAAGTTTATATATTATTTTAATGCTAAAATCTATTTTCTTTTATATTT